CCATTCCCTTATTCCAATAGGGTAGGTCTTAGCATTTTGAACTAAACCATCCCTAGTATACCACTGTCCTATATCGGTGCATACAATCCCCAACATCCAGATAATTGACAGAATTTAATGTAATAATTCAACAATTATAATCCAACACATAAATCCAGATAATTGAAAGAATTTAATATAATAATTTAGTAATTATAATCCAACACATAAATCCAGATAATTGACAGAATATAAGTTAATAATTCCTCAATTAAAAATCTAACACCTAATTCCATGTAATTTGACATAATATATTTTAATAATTCTTCAATAAAAATCCAAGAAAAGCATAACCAAACTCTAATATGTATAAGACCCTATTATGCATCCAAAACAAATTTAGAAATCATACTCCAGTCATCTAAGCTGCTAAAATAAGTTTAAGCAATTAAATAATTCATATCCGTCAACAGTGTGCGACATTGCTTAAAGCTTCCACACTGTGAATACCATTAGCATATAGAGATAAATTATGCACTGTGGGTTCTAATACAACATAATATCATGTTTAGAGTCCATGCTATAGTCCGTTAAATTGTTAACACAAGATTAAACAATTTAACCCTTCCTATCCGTTAACAGCGTGCAAAGTTGCTTATTTTTATACTGTTCATTCTATTTGCACTACGGATCAAATTATGCAATTAGAGAGTTTAAAATCCCATGGAATTACTTTTAAAATCCTCAGTCCAGTCCTTGAAACAATCCAGAATACCAAACACGTCTAAAACAGTGCCCAAAACAGTTCTGGAACGTGTCCAAACAAGGGAGCCTGCTCTCAAAACCACAGAACAGGCTCAATGAACCATGGAGCTGGCTCCCTAACCTTTGGAGCCGGCTCTGTGAAGAGGGGAGCTGGCTCCCAACCTCCTGGAGCCAGCTCTCTCCCTTTTTGAGAGCACTGATCCGCTTCTGCTCCGTTTCTGATCATCTGCTTTGTCTCCGGCATCTTCCTACCCTTCTGTTCTTCCTTAAAACTGATCTTAACAGTCTAATATATACCCAGTATCATCCTAGTCCTTTGTTTATAATAGTGAGAATTAATAACCATAATTATAACAGCTACCGACTTGTTATACTTTGAAAACAGATGACGAACACCAATCTTGCAAGAATTATTTCAGACAAAATTAAACACATACAGATGATCAATTTGACATATATTACACATGAAAGATTCAATTAATATTCAATTAAAAATCCTAGAGATCATCTAGGTATGCACAGAACACAGGCCACGGGGAGAGAGGAAGAAAAGAACTTGCCTGTGTAGTTTTGGAATCAAAACCTTGTCGCCGTATTCCTAAACTTTCCGACGACATCCGTTTACTGTCAACTCAACCTCCTACCTCTCAACCTTCCCTTCTCATAGGTCCGAACTTTAATCCACAGCTGAAACCCTCATTGCAATTGCTCTGTTTTTCTCACAATTGCTCTCTGTTTCTCTCTGTATCTTTGGTACGTGAATAGGGTTTTTCCAACCCTTGTTGCAGACTATAACAGTATACTTATAGGCATAACAAAAACCTAACTCCAATTAAAACCCTAAACTGCACCTTATCCGGCCCATACGTGATTCTTAAAAGAATATAACCTACTTGTAACCTTATAACATAAAACCCTAATAGAAACCAATTAACTCAACTAATAAACCATATAACTAATTAAAAATAAGTAATTCCAATTAATCAATTTAAAGAAAAATAAAAATACAATTAATCCATTAATGAAAATAAAAACACAATTAATCAATTAATGCAATTAAACAACCAATTAATCAAAAATGTAATTAAATACACAATTTAAACAATTAAATAGAATAAATAATAAAACAAATAAACAGTTTAGCAAATAATCAATTAATCACACAAAAATGCAATAAAACCATAATTAAAATGCCGAGATTATCCTTTTAAAATTAGGGGTATTACAACTCTCCTTCTCGGTCGTGGTCATCTTGGGTATGGAAAAGTTTACAAGCTGCTAAGGCCGTGATTCGGAGGGGTATGAAGTGGCGTATTGGGGATGGCTCTTGTGTTGATTGTTGGTCTGTAACTGGCTTCCGGATAGGTCCAATTTTGCTGTTACTTCTCCGAAGCTTCGTGCTTCTTTCTCTTCGGTTGCGGCATTAATCAACAGGTCATCACATTCATAGAATTTTACCTTGATTTCCAAGCACTTTAATATCCGTGACTCTAATCTTATCCTTCAGATGCCGCTTCGTTAAACGGGAGGGTTTGATCCCAAAATTTGGGGTCTCATTCCAGATGGCCAGTTTATAGTTAAGAGTGCCTATTACATTGCTCTGTCTTTTCTCCAAAAGGGAAAGGTTTTCTCTAATCTCGATAGTTGTAGTTTCGCCTCTGAGAAGAAGAATTTGTGGGGTGATGTTTGGAAAATTCCGACTTACCAGAAAATCCAACTTTTTATGTGGCAGAGTTTACATGATCGGCTGCCCGTACTTTTGTAACTCCAAAAGCGGGGTGGATCCGAGAAGATTTTCTGCAAGTTTTGTGGAGTCGATTGATCATATTCTATGTACTTGCCCCTTTGCTTGCACCGTTTGGAAGCTTAGTCCACTGCGGTTGAATTTCAGCAAATTGTCACCATCTTGTCGGCAAAAAAAGATGGTTTGGCCTTACTGAGCTTTGGAAAGTTTGTGATGATCCCTCTACTTGTGTTGGTTTGGCGGCTTTCATTTGCTGGTCTATTTGGAAGTGCAGGAACGATAATATGTTTAATAATTTTCGTTGGGATCCGTTTGATGCCTCCCAACGGGCAGTCATGAATTTTAATGAATTCCACGAGGTTAGGAAGCAGGATGCTCTCTTTTCCCTTTCTTCTATCTTTGTTCCTCATCCTCCCTCTGTTTGGAAGGCTCCATGTGCTGGTAGTCTCAAGTTAAATTTTGACGCCTCCTTTTGCTCCGTTTCCAAGTCTTGTGGTGGTGGTATCTTACTTAGAAACCATTTTAGATAGCCTATTCGGGTGGCATCTATTTTTTTGAGGCATATGTGTAGTCCGACTGTGGCTAAAGGTTTGGTGCTTAGGGAGTCTCTCACTCTTCTCAAATGTTGGGGTTACTCCCAGGTCTTTGTGGAGGGGGACTGCAAGTCAGTGATGGACCTTTACCCTTCTAAAGAGGCTCTTACGGTTATTCTTGAGGATGTTCCTTCCCTTTTGCGTTCTTGTGTAGGTGCCTCTCTTGTTTGGACCCCTCGTAAAGGAAATGTTATTGTTCATCTTTTGAGCCAAAGGGCTTTAGAAGCCAAATGTTGTAATTTTGAGTGGAGCATATGGCCTGAATGGTTATTAAATGCTTGCACCTCTGAATGTATTCCACTTTCTGTCTAATGTTATATCGGTTTTCGTTAAAAAAAAAATTTTATTACAGAAAACGGGTTATTATCCTCCTTTATTTAACTTTTGTTGTATCACATGTTTATTACAATCTTGTGCTCATCGTGTGCATAGTTTCGATGCACAAGCATGTAGAGCTTTGCATAACGTGTTATGCATTAAAATGACTGTATCACATAATGAATGTTTTAGCTATTTGAATCATTAAATGAGAAAATTACAGTTTACACGTTTTTTTGAGGTAGGAAAGAATATAAAAAATTAAGGATAAAGTACAGAGACACTCTCGAAGTTTGAAATAAGGCCATATAGATGAAAGTTCACCTATTTTTGGACAATGACACCCTCTTCAAGTTTGAAAAATGGATGAAGAGACCCTAAAGATGGTGAATTGACCTTATTATCATTTGAAATAAAATTAACATTTTAATTGACTTAAATATCCTTGGATTAAACCCTAACCTAACCCATCTCGAACCCGAACCTGAACCCGAACCCGCATGTGTGTATATTATACAGCTCACCAGAGGAGAGAGAACGGAGAGAGGAAGAAGGGAGATGAGATGGATGGTGGTTGTGGCTTCGATGGTGGGTGTAAAGAGAGAGGGGAAAAGAGGGGCGGCCATAGTTGAAGAGATGAGCTGAAGAGGAGAGAGAGGAAGAACATAGGAGGGGAAAAAGAAATAATCTATATACAAAACGGAGGGGGAAAAGAGATACAATCCATAAGATGTGTTGAAGACAATTGAAATATGGGTAATTAATACCCACCAATAATAAATGTATAAGGGATCAAATGGGTTTCATGTGTCACTGAATTAAGAACATGTAAACACTAAACTACCGCTCAACTCATAAATTTTAGCCTTCTGATATGGTAATGGAGATGTGCCGTTGCAAGTCAATAACCTCATATTTGAAGAAGACACAATGAAATAGCTCTGCGATGCCCTCGAGAGGAAGAAGATAGGAGAGAGATTGTGGTGATGGCTGCGACAGTGGGGGTGGCGGCAATGATGAGTCTGGCAAAGATAACCCAGATTGAGTCCGACGAAGACAAACTCACTCCAGTGACAGCGAACTAACGTAGATCGGCGACTACGAGACTAAACTCTAAAGAGCTCGACCATGTGGAGAAGAACTTGCCCAGTACCAGTGGCTTGGCATAAGCCGCAGGTATGCGGAATCTCCGGCCAAGGCCTTTCACCTTAGTATGGCGGTCCTTTGACCATCAATGATGTTGATTTACATGGGTAGGCGGTGGAGAGGAAGATAGGCGGTGGTGGTTCCTGGTTGTGTTTGTATATATATATATATATATATATATATATATAAAGATAAAAAGGGTAATTTGGTCTTTTAAATATTTTGATATTTTATAATTAAAATTAATAAAATAATGAAGGTAAAATTGACTTTTCACATGTTTTAAGGCTTTGTTTGGCTTGCAAATTTCATAAGGGGGTGTTATTGTTTCAAAATAAGATAACTTGTATCTGAGTGCCCTTTTAACATATTTCAAGAAGTGTTGCTGTACTTTACCCAAAAATGAATCATGGTTTCTTGTGAAGATATTTTAGCTGTTTACTCATGTCTTGCAGACTCAATTCATGCTCAATCAAGTTTCGAATCTTGAACAAAAGGTATAAATCTTTCGATACACCATGCCACATTGTTTCTCCATGTTTTGTTAATGTCACCAAACATGGATATACTTGTTCAGGAGCAAAGGCTACTGGAAGTCAACAGAGTCTTGAGGAAACAGGTACAAACACCTCCAATAATTTTATTTTTGGTTTAATTTACTTTTCAAATGTGAAAGAGATCAATAACACAGACAACTATGGGTAATTTATTCCCAAGTAAAATAGTTGTGTGTTAGGGCCTTTTATTATCTTTCCTCTAAAATTGTCTGTCAAAGCATTTATCTATGGCACACGCATCATCTTGTGAACCAAGAATAATGATATTTTCTCTGAATTTGGAGGACATGGGTTCCGGCCACCTGAATGCATAAGGCGGTTGTGACCCCTTTGAGACCAGCTAAGCTTTGACACCGTATTCATGGAGACTGATCTCTACTTAACCCTCAAAAGAATTTTCTTTAAAGCATTCAATATGGAGCCATTATCATTTTGTGTCATGCATTTATATGCTGTAATTAAATTTCATATGAATGATACTCAGTTTGATGTAAGAATTGAGCTATTATCATTTTGTGTCATGCATTTATATGCTGTAATTAAATTTCATATGAATGATTCTCAGTTTGATGTAAGAATTTTCTGTTCTTGGCAGTTGGAAGAAACAGCTGGTGTAGAGGTGCAATCATCATGGGGAGCCCGGGAACACAATATCCAGGATAGACACCAGGCTGCACTGTCTCAGGGGTTTATTGAGCCTCTGGAATGCAATAATACACTGCAACTTGGGTATGTTTCAACAAGTTCAGATTTCAGGGTGATTAGTTTTCAGTCTAATAACTTAAATTTCTTTCCATAGTTCGAATTGCAGTTACAATCCCGCGACACGAGATCAACTGAATGTTGCAAACTCAACACGAAGCACTAATGGGATTATCCCTGGTTGGATGCTTTGATTTTCTAAACTTGTGAAGAACATATGCAATATCTATTTGTGTGTGTCCGTGTTAAAATTCATGTCATAGAAGAGTCTACATGGTAGAAAGACTTTTTTCTTTCACTTTGCAAAATAAGTTGTTTGATGAAAAACTTGCAATTGTAGCCTAAAAGAGAGGCAAGCAAGTTGACTCTGCTACATTAATGTATGTAGCTTCTATTAGAGTTGCTTCAAATCTTTAGCAAACTGATCAAGAACTGCTACTGTAATCAGTGGTACGTAAGAAATTTAAAATTGGGAAAATTACAGATACATGAACTTAGCAGTGTCAAGTGAGGTGAAACTCGTCAAATTTCAGTGGGAGAATTCTGACGTGGACATGAACTTTTTACTGATTATTATTTTGGAATACCTAGACTACCCTTGTTACCGTTGTATTTAATGACCCAATTGCCCTCACTTATTTTACAAATTTTGACCACATCATTGGGATGCAAGCTTTGAACTAAACAATCTTAGTTAGGCAAAGAGAAAGCAAGAGTAGGGGGGTCAAAAAGATGGATTGTGCAAGAAATGGAGACTTTAGTGTGAGATATAAATTTTTATGTTAGCAAATTTTGAAGTCAAAACTTGAAGATCAAATTGTATTTATGTTTATCTTGAAGTCTGGTCTTTAAAAGCCGACATGCAAGTGCCTCTCACCATTGAATCAGGAGAGAACATTATTCAGTTGGTTTGAGAGCATTAGGCTTTTTAGAGTCAAAACAGGTCTATTTTTAGTCCTAAGCAAAAATACAACCAGTTGCACTTTCAAATAGGACCAGCTACACTTCATGTAGGTCAAATTAGAGCTCTCAGCCAAAAAACAACGTGTTGCACTCTCTGCATTCAGAATTGATCTCAACCAAAACAAAACTACTTGCGTTCTAAACAAAACTGGTTGTGTTTTCTTGAATATGTGAGGCGTCAACTTTAAATTATTTTTTAATTTTCAATTTTTACCAAAACTCCTAGGGAAGTCCTTGATCATTCTTAAAACCTCTTTTTACTCATTATGAGGACTCTCCAGCATATATATACTTTTCATAACTCTAACCCTAGATGAGATTCATTGCTTCAATTGGAAAAATAAGATTTTCAACTTTCACATGAACACTAAAATGTTTTGAGGGATTTTTAAAAGAACTCTGATTGTTTATTTTTTAGAGCACACACTTAAACACAAAAGTGTTTTAGAGTGATGTTAATATTTACACTGATCAACAGAATCTTTAGAGTCTACATCATATTATAAAGATTGATTAGATCAGTAGGACTTTCTTTTAGCCTTCACAAAATTCACATTGAAGGAAGACGAGGTATCAATTACACGTTGAAGGGCCAAAGAATTCGAGGAGTGTTCGTTGATCTACCAGCAACTCTTCTACAAACAACAAGGAGTAAACCTAAAGTCCAGGGTGTTTGGACAGGGGAGTCACAAAGTCAGAGAGATGTTTAGCGATTGGTACTTGGTGGAGTGGAGTGAGTGTGAGCCTGAATCAGAGTCAATTGTACTTTGTTTCAACAATATTGGATCATTAAGCTTGAGACAGCGAAAGTCTCTTTGATTTTCATTCCAATTGGTCAGATTTCTTCCAACAAGGGTTTCCATTCTCAAAAACCCGATGTCATTTCTCAAACTTTACTTTACTTGTTTTACTTTATTATTTATATTTTGTGGTTGTGGATATGAAATTGGTAATCATTGTGATTAATTAATTCAATCACAAAAATTAAGCAACTTGACTTATTCACCCCTCCACCACCCCATCCGACCATCTAGGTTATTAGAGTGTTGTTTCTAACTTAATCAACATAACAGCTTCGGCACTGCAGTACTTACATTTGGGAAATGAGATCGAGAAATCTTGTCTTTATTGAAGTTAGCTAGGGTGGAGAGTAGATCAAGAAATAGAGTATGTATCAACTACTAAGGCACACACCAATAAAAAATTAAAATAAATAAATAAATAAAACAGCAGCATTGATTATATCAGTAGAATAGCTTCACCATTTAATTAAATGTTTATGTATGTAGTGATAAGGCTTGTCATTCTATTCTCGGTGCACTGGGGACTTTAGTTTCGCCTGCCGTCCAAAGCCTGAATTTAATTTCAATAACATTATGACTAGCAATGGAATCCAAAGGGTCGCCATAAGCCAAATTAACTACAAGCTAGTCTGAGCACCATCCTTAATTGAATGTTTTAGAAAGCTTATGGACATGCTCCTTAAACCTATAATACTCCTCCAAATTACTAGAGTACTTCTTAAGAACGTTCACAAGATTATTCCTTGTTAGAAATAAAGGAATGAAAAAAATATTATATTATATTGAATTAATAAAAAATTACATAAAAGTCCTATCTATAGGAGAAGGTTTAGGGGTAAGTAAGTGATAAACAATTAACCAATAGATAGTATGGTAGGTGTAATCATATATACATATATATATATATATGTTAAAAGGTAAGCTTGTGTATAGAATAGAAAGAATGTACATGGAGCCGAATAAGAGGGGAACAAAAGACAATCATACAGGCAACAGTCCTTATCTTAAGGACAAAATAACTCAAAATGACATAACAATGTATTCACTCACTGTCTTCACTGTGATCACAATGATCATTGGACGCCAACTTGCACAGAAGCACTAAACAAAGCTTCAAACATTGGACACTAAATTCTCTATCTGCATATCTCCAAGGAGCTTTACAGAGATCATTTGATGCAAGTTGCACCTCACAGCACCTCCATTTTGGATTCAAAATCCACTTTGAGAAAATTCCAAATCAGATAGCCTGAGAATGCCAAGCCAGTAGCCATATTATTTACATAAGATCAATGTAATACTCCACTAAAAGCCTCAATTTTTTCAAACCATCCATAAGAGTTGTGTGGGAAGCCACTCTATCCCTTTGGTCAGGGTAGTAGCAAGGCTTGTCCACAAGCTTTGGAACACCCTGGAAGAGAGTTTGTAGTTGTGAAAGAGAAGAGAGCTTCTTCAGGTCAGAGCTTGTTTTAATCTTGGTTGTTGCTAGTTTGTCTCTCACACAGCTTTTGACTTGTGCAATGATGCTGAGGGGTAAAAGGATAAACTTATAATCTAACAGCCCCCTCAAACTCAAAATGAGTACGAACCCAACTTGAGATTGAAGGCAAGATCATGAAAAAAGCTAACGGAAATTTGGTGGAGATCGGTTTTCACCCATGATGTATGTGGAGGGACGTTAACAGCTAACATGGCACTAGTGCTGACTGTGTCTAACATGGCAGGTGACGTGGCGCTACTGCTATCATCGTTATTAGCTGTATCTGATAGGGCAACTGTCGTGGTAGGCGGCACACTATTGTTGGCACCACTGTTAACTGTGTTTGAGGATGAAGCACTGATGAGGCGAAATTATGACGTTATTGTCGTGAAATTGCAATGATGTGTCTTGGAGGCTGATTGGGTGACTAAATAAAGCTTTTGCTGATTATGAACTTGAGATTGAAGGTTGGGATGTAAAAGCATAAGTTTTAAGGTTGATCGTCGCCAGGGATGGCTGATAGTGCCATTTTCGGCAGTGACTATAATAAACTAATAAGACTTTTTACCATTGATTGAAAAGCTCTGATACCATGCTAAATATAAAAGAATGAAAAAAATATTATAACGCATTTAATTAATGAAGACTACATAAATGTCCTATACATAGGAGAATATTTGGGGATAGGTGGGTGATGAACAAGTAACCTATAGATAGTAATATGGTAGGTGTAATCAAATATGGCAATTTGTAATATGCAAGAAACGTAAGTGGTAGGTAAAGGGGTAAATTTGTAATCTAACATTCCTAATATACCAAAACATACAATTAGGTGTAATATATATATATATATGCGTGATTATTTTTAGCAACTGTGAAATTTATTTGTTTTTCGCAAAAGAGAATTTTCAATACCCAACTAAATGACAAAAAAGAAATAACTTCCACATAATTAGACTCTTTACTGATGGTTTTGTGTGAAAATACTACTACAGTAGCCCGGTCAGTTCAATATTTGCAAATACGTGTTTACCCGTAGATTTCATCAGCCAACTAATCTACTAGAATTGTTTGCATGTTATATGTGAATAGATATTAGGTTAGTTGTGCATGGCATGTCATTGGCATGTCTAACTAATCAAAGTTCTGTTAGGTTTTTTACAATAAAGCTTTTAAAACTTCTTTAATCGTAAAATATTTTGAATGAGTATGAAAGGTTAATGGTGAAAAGTCTTTTGAGAAAAGACATGTTCTTTCTTAAATAGGCATATAGTAGCCTATAAATAGTAAAAGTATTCCAACAACTAAATGTGTTCTTACTTTTCTTATTTCTTTTTCCTAAAAATCATTTCTTCATTCTTCAACCAAATACTATATTATATATATTCAATTATATATATGAGTTTATAGACAACGTGACACTACAAGACTTGGTGATCGTCACTCTGTGAACGTGCGTATGGAGGACATTAGAGTTGTATCTTGGAGCATTTCATAGTGGTCACAATCTGCACGTAGGGAGGCTATAAAGGCTTTAGGACAGCTCATACTATGTGCCTCTCTCCATTACACAGCCAGACTTTTCTCTATTCTTCTCTTATTGATTTTATATATTTTACTGGCCTATTATTTTAGTATATTGTTTTATTTATACTATATTTATTGTAGTATGATTACACTGTGATATGAATTTTAATAAGATTATATGAATGGACTTAAAAATGAAATTGTATAAAAATATCAAAAATACCCAACAATCTAAAGCCTTTGGATCTCTTAATAGTAGATCATGTGTTTATCATTTCTTAAAATATGTTCCTGTGCAGTTCTCTATCTAATGTTTGTCATAGATATGTTTGTTATTAATTTCATTGTCATATTATATAAGCAAGTTTATGGTGTGCTCAGAATGTTAAAAAGAAAAGAATAATACTATGAATGAATTTCTTTAAACTACATTATTGAAAGTACAAAGAATTTTTCCCTAATTGTAGAGAGAGAAACTTTACACTCTCAATGAGTTTTTCAACCCCTTTTCCCTCTCAATCCCTTCTATTTATAGACGGTTACAACCTCCACTGAGCTGGTCCTATCTTGTTCTCCTTTGGCTGGACTCGATTTCTCTCATTTTATCATGGGCTTCTGAAATGGCTTTATGGACCTGGGCCCATACGGCGCGAACTGGCTTCATCCTGCTCGTCCACACCCGACCC